CCATTAAGTCGTTTTAGCAAGATTTGATACAAGGTCAACGGAAAACACAAAGATAAACACAAGTGATATCCGAGAATTGTTGTTGTTAGCAGATCTTGTTCTGACTTTAATCATTCTATCTGCAGATGAACATCATGTCATGAAAACCTAGGCCATTAAAGTATGTCATGAATTACTAGCTTAAACTTAAAAGTATTATTTCCACCACAATAGCATGGCCTTCGAGGCCAAGCAGCTGGAAGCCGAATAGATAAGCACCATTGTTTGGGACAAGGCAGCATTGAATTTTTCTGCTGCTTTTAAAGTCTTAACTGCATCTCTGAAGTGGTGAAAAAAGTTCCAAATAAGCCAAATTCGGGGTCCTCCTCGCTTCTCTCCGTCTAGAGCTTCACCCAGACATAATCCTGCACACCAGAGGCACACTCCTGAGCTGCGATTCTTGTCAGAACCATATCAGTTTGCGATTTACCTCCCCCAACAACTGAGTCTGTGCGCCCCCACTCTGGCAGTGTCCATCCACTGCGCCAGACAGCTTCTCAATGGCCCGGACCACTGTCAGGATCGCTTTCACTTTTCGATAAATCAGTACTCCGCCTCCTCCGATCAACAGAAATCCAGTTATCATAAATCCAAATATATACAAATCTTTCAAGTCTTCAATGGAAAGTGGTGCCAGACACATTAGGTTCCAACTGCCCCAAGAACCACTGATGCGCCCCGCAGCAACCGTTCCGCTCAGACAGCTTCGTTCCCCTTGATCTAATCTTAATGTGGAAAAAATAGTGTCAACCCAATATCAATACTGGTATCCATTTTAAGTATCTGAGGGCCTTTTATTAAAGTATGAGTACTTGTAAATATGCTGGTATCAGGACATGACCAAATACATTTTAAAGATTTTTTGTTTTAAGAAGTTGACTTTACATGGAAGGTTTAGAAGATAAGTGAACCTAATAAACTTGTATTCCCAAAATCCTGACTTTTTCTAAAAAGTTTATTTAGCAACAAAACCCAATAGGATGAGAGGAAGCAGCGAGTACCAGAATTACAAATGCCAATCTAAAAAAAACAAAGAAAGGAAGAAAAAAATGAGAAGGTGTGGCTATAATCTAAGCTGATCATTTTTAGGGCAGCAGAGAAGTCATTTGTAAGACACGGTGCAGATGGAGAAAGCCCTGTGCAAGTTAGGAGAGCAAAATAATAAAATGCATGTCTAAGCAGTTGCACAGATTTGTAAGCATGTGTGTGTGTGTGTGTGTGTGTGTGTGTGTGTGTGTGTGTGTGTGTGTGTGTGTGCACAACAGGAACACGTGGATGCAAGCTGCCTCATGCGACTAAAGGGAAGAGGGTAGGTGTTGGTGAAAGATTAGCATGGCACCCCCTCATCTCAACAGGGTTGCACTGCTACAGATGTTCCTTCTCTGCTGAAACTCATTAACATAGCAAACAGGTGCCTCTGTGTGTTGTTGTGCTTATAGTAGATGTGTTTGTGTAAAACTGGCAAGAGCTGAAACTCTGTGTACATGCTTTTGTTACTTTGTAGGGACAGTTTTGACCATTTTCCCAGTACACACAGCCGTATGAGGACCCATTGTGCCATATGGGGACAAAAGCCTGTTCCTTCTGAGTACAAAATCTGGTTTTGGATTGTGGATTAAGTTCACGACTGAAGTGTGAATTGAGTTTAGGTTTGGTTTAAGTTTAGGTATGTTGGGGTGGTTATGTTTTGGAGTGGTTATATTTAGGGTTAGTCATGTTTTGGGGTGGTTACGTTTAAGGTTAGGTATGTTTTGGGGTGGTTAGGTTTAGGGTTAGGTAAGTTTTGGGGTGGTTATGTTTAGGGTTAGTTATGTTTTGGGGTGGTTATGTTTAGGGTTAGGTATGTTTTGGGGTGGTTTTTTTTTAGGGTTAGGTATGTTTTGGGGTGGTTATGTTTAGAGTTAGGTATGTTTTGGGGTGGTTTTGTTTAGGNGTTTTGGGGTGGTTATGTTTAGAGTTAGGTATGTTTTGGGGTGGTTTTGTTTAGGGTTAGGTATGTTTTGGGGTGGTTATGTTTAGGGCTAGTTATGTTTTGGGGTGGTTATGTTTAGGGTTAGGTATGTTTTGGGGTGGTTATGTTTAGGGCTAGTTATGTTTTGGGGTGGTTATGTTTAGGGCTAGGTATGTTTTGGGGTGGTTATATTTAGGGCTAGGTATGTTTTGGGATGGTTTTGTTTAGGGCTAGTTATGTTTTGGGGTGGTTACGTTTAGGGTTTGTTACGTTTTGAGGTGGTTATGTTTAGGGTTTATGTTTTGGGGTGTTTATATTTAGGGTTAGGTATGTTGGGGTGGTTATGTTTAGGGTTAGTTGTGTTTTGGGGTGGTTATGTTTAGGGTTANTTGGGGTGGTTATGTTTAGGGTTAGTTGTGTTTTGGGGTGGTTATGTTTAGGGTTACTTACGTTTTGGGATATTTATGTTTTGGGTTAGGTAGGTTGGGGTGGTTACGTTTAGGGTTAGGCATGTTTTGGGTTGGTTAGGTTTAGGGTAAGCGATAAAGGTTAGGTTTTCGAAATGGCTGGATAATTAAAATAAGTCAAAACAATGTCCCCATGAGGATAGAAGAACAAGTGTGTGTGTGTGTGTGTGTGTGTGTGTGTGTGTGTGTGTGTGTGTGTGTGTACTTCCTAGTGTCAGCTGAAACCCGCTTTCATTTTGAATGTATTTAGATACAAACCACTTTGCATTTGCTGCTTCATTCATCTACATTTCAGAGTCAAGCAGCTTCAGCATATCATACATATGAACACAAACTGCCCAAGGTGTGTTTGTGTCTGGATGTGTGTGTGAACGGATAAACTGAGCTTTAACACCAGCTTTTCCACTGCTAACTCTTCCTTATCATCATTATCTGTATTCCCATTCCCTTCAGGCTCACACACTCCCACTGACTTCATCCTTATCCTCCATCCCTCGTCCCCATCTCTTCACTGTTTTTTGGGGATTTTTTTCTCCTTAGCTGAGAGCTGGAGGAGAAAAAAGAAAGACCTGCAACAGAGTTGATGCCTTGGGCAGTTTTAACCTCCCTCCGGAGCAGACGATGATCACTTTGATATTCACTTTTTTTTAAAGAAGCTGACTGGGCATCCACGTCTGTTCTTTTTAGTTTATTCCGTCACATTCTTTATTGGGGGAAGCAAATTAATAGGCATTGCTCCACAATGAGCATTTCCCATGTGAGGCACCTCTAATGACAGAAGTGAGGGGGCTGATCTTTTCAACACTTSTAAATGTTGATGTGAATTTTAAAGCGCTGCAGAAGAGACAAGGATTACAGCTGAGTGAATCCTTCATTTTGCTTAAAAACCAGATGAAAATCCCAAAAATATTACATTTGAGCTATTAGGGACAAAAGAGCTGCAGAAAATCATAAGAAAAAAATGCCTGTAAGTCTAGAACTAGATGATTGAGAGATTCCAAATAATCAGCTAGTGACTGGAATCTAGCAGGTTTTAGCTTGACCAGCCGATCCAACAATTGGAAATCTTTCGTTGTTTTTTTCTCCAGTCAGTGAACACACCACCTTCTAAGTTATGCTTTCAACAGCATATCTTCAGCATGAAAGTTTTGACCGAGTAAAACAAGACTTAAAGTTTGCCATTTGTTGAATCTGTGGGGTGTTTAAAAATAAAGTCGGAAGAATCCCAAGAGGTGCAAAAGGCTACTAAATGGAAATTGCATTTTCTCCAAAGGTGCATCTGCTATATTAAGCTGCCTCTCAAACAGTTGACAGTCTAAGTCCAAGCTATGGTGGAAGTAAAAAAGACTTAAGCAGACAGCAGAAAAAAATGATCACAGAAAAGTTTATCTATTTCATCATTTTGAGCTTTCAACCTTTTTTTTATTGTGAAACATGTTGAATTTGGAAATGTCAGTCTGTTGGAAAACATAGGCAGACTAAATTTATCATTTAGGGAAAAACAGTTACAGTTAGCTGAACTAACTGCACTAAATGATAAATGATGTTAAAAATAGTGATAAATAATTTGAAATTAAGGATTATTTAATTAACACTTACTAAAGTATCATTCTATAATTCTATTTATTTGTCAAAATGTCAGCACCCTTATTTTGTCACCGTTTTACTAAAATGCTCCTTTTTTTCAGCGCTGCAAACAGTGCCACACAACAGCTCAATGACAAAGGTTCCCATTGGTTGAGACGTACGATGATTCTCATTTAAGCCAACAGCAATCATGATCCCACCCACCATGACCACTGGGTTTGTGTGTGTGTTCATAGCCAATAAACAGAAGTACAAAAATTACTGCTGTTACGCGCTGACAGGGTTAACAACATCAACATGCCCAGCACTAATTTAAACACTTTTTCGAACAAATATTACTCTGGACACAGCTTTATTTCGTTTTGTAAACATAGGTCTGCAGAAAAATAACATGAATWTCCTGTGATAAGATGCACTTAAATGTTTTATACAGAACCTAAACAAACAAAATAAACTAAATAAACTGAGTAAATATACTGTAATAATCTTTGTGGGAGGCATTTATTGTTCCCCTGGTTAATAACATGGCAGAAATATGTCATAGATTTATATTGTTTGAGAGCAAGATATCAGAAACCTGGTGCCGTTTTGTTGAAAACGTCTGTAAACATTGTAATATTAATGGACAGAAAAATGTTCAATTTAATAAAAAAATATGAATACATCGTATTCTGTTAACTATAATTTTAAAAGRTAAATCAAAAYCAATCTAAAAAAATGTTACAGCACTACAGATATCAGAACTGGCCTTAAAAACTATGATTGGTGAATTTCTACTAGCTTTTATTCAATCCTTGTCTGTGAAATCTGAGTGAGCAAACAWTACGACACCTGAGATGCTTTTCCAGTTTGTCCACCTGGTCATGAAGCGATGCAGTGATGTCTGTCTTTGATCTGAAAAATATTAAAATGAAACAAAACTTACAAAAAGTACTTGAGGAAAAAAGTGGAAAACATCTTGTACAATGACATGGTAAACACTGTGTGTGTGTGTGTGTGTGTGTATGTGTTAATACAATGTGTGAGAGTGGCAATAATACTGCTTGTCCTTAAAAACACCCGTTTTCTCCTACATTCCTTCTTCAGACTTACTCTCTAATGCTTCGTTTATTTCTGCTTTTCACGCTCTCTAATGGTGGAGGCAAGTTATATTCTTCTGGGAAGATTTAGACCCACTTAAGCAATCCCACAGAAAGAGATAATATTTAAACTATTAAATGAGTGAAATCATGGATTCTAGCCTAACCTACAAACTTGCAATATTCTATGTGAAGCAGTTTTAAAACATCAATAAGTCAAAGAAACCACTCCTGGGAGACATGTTAAGTTGAGGTTATTGCATATATATGATTCAGCTTTACAGTGTTGATCATTATAACACTGCAGAAAATAAAATCTGTCTGTAAAATGGTRAGAGCTGCAACAAAATACAGTAATATACTCATTTAGAAATATTTTATAAAAAGGTAAAATGTTAAAATTTAAGTGCGATAAAATGGAAATTCAAAGGAAGCATGATTGCTTGCATTTAATTCTGATTTTTTATATAGTTCAACTGTATTTATATTAATATTAAAGTAAAAGCATCTTAAAGTGTAGCTTCTATACCAACATATGTCCAGTAAATCTGTTAGGAAAAGTATTTCTTAGTGGAACTAAATGAGATCAAAATGTTTTTACAACATATCCAACTCTACTTTACCCTTTATTATCATTTTTTATATTTTGTCACCTAAACATTCAAAAAGAATCTTATCTTACCAAAAAATTACTTTGGTAAAAGTTGAAGGAATATTACTTGAGTAAAAGTCTTAAAGTATCTGAAACTTTTTTGTACTTCAGTATTAAACGTAAAAGTATTGATTTAAAATGAGCAGTTAGATTTTCTGTAATGACATGTTTTAGAGGTGACCCCCCCACCAAAAAAATGCAGAAATTACTATATTGAATTAAAATAATTAATTTATGTTGAATTTAGGATGCACTGGTCTAGCTGTTTCAGTTTATATGCATATATCAAGGCTGCACAAACCTTTTCCCCAAAATTAAAATCTATCTGAGGGCTGCGGCCAAATGCAATAATATAATTCATGAAATAYAAATACTTCTTAAGTACAGTCCTTTTATTTKAATGATTATATCCTGCTGGAGTATGACATCATTTGTTTGTGTACAAACTAATACGGTATCAGAATTTTATATATTTATACTTTTCATTCAACCAAAATTGAATTCACTATCTAGGAGGCACAGTTTATATGGATAGAATTTGTTTTTTACAATAACAAGCTGGAATGAAAACAAGTAAAAATGAAATAAAACTAACAACTTTCTACTTCTTGCCTTTTTTAATGTAAGGAGTAGAAAGTRCAGATAATTGTGTGAAAATGTAAGAAGTAGAAGTAAAAAGTAGGCTGAAAAATAATTACTCAAGTACAGATACCCAAAAATTCTACTTAAGTACAGTAAAGAAGTATTTGTACTTAGTTACTTTACAACTCTGCCTACCCATCCATCCAGCCATCCAATCAAGTAAAAAAATAGTTTAGGCCTTCTAAAGTAGGGTTCTGTTTAAAGGTTGGTCTACAGTTCTAACTGGACTGATGAGCTTACGGCTAGTTTTAGTTGGGTTAAGTCCAAAACGAACTGCTGCAGTCTACAGACAACTGCAATTTCTAAAATTTCCTAGGTGTTCGGGTGAACATTCTTTTATAAACCTCATTTTATGAGTATTTACAGAAATGTTTGCATTTCTTTGCAAGCACACATAGCAGCAACAGCTATCTGTGGCACTTACAACTGAAATATACTGTTTCTGCCTAAATAACTCATGTCAAACTAACAGTGAAGTTTATAAAATATCTTTCACATCAACATCCATGAAATTTTAAAAAGATGGGGTTGTTTTTAGACTATTCCACCAAACATAAGTTACTGAAGCAGCTATCTACAACATGTAAGATATTATTTGCTCATAACCGTTCCACATTATCTCACTTCAAAATATCTAAATCATGCCTTTACAGTAAGTGTCAGATAACGTAGTGCCAATAATCCAACCAATGACTGGTTTTTAGACTTCTTTAGGTTCAAGGTTTGCAGACTGGACAGCTTTTTAATAGGCGTTAGTGAATTTAATTTTAGCTGGACTGATAGTAGATCGTGTGCGGTGGTTTGATTTTGTTTTAATGCCCACACCTGGTTCAGATTTACCGCCAGGACTTGTGCCAGAGTGTTTGGACTGAATCTGGGACATCCCTCTTACTGCACCTGGGGCAATTATCCCTCTTAACCTGCTGGATTTGGGCCAACAGAAGGTCAAATCCTTTTGGCAATGATGCATAACACCAGTGGGGATTATTAAAAGTCATTTTTCATAGTTGTAAGAAACAGGAACTAAATTCCATTAATTGAGGACCATTATCACTTTTATTTATGTATTTATTTGTCCATGTTCCCCAAATATTGGCTAGTTTATTTGTGGGATTTGGATGGACGTTTGCCCGAAATTTGACAAAATCCCCTTAAGGCTTCCTGGAAAATTGTGGTCGTAAAAACCCAGAGAGGAGAATCCTAAAACGCATCGCCTCCAGCCACAGCTGTCACCCCGCATAAGAACAACACCTGCAGYGAGAATTCGTTCGGTTTATTATAATAATGCAGCTTGGTTGAGAGGAAGCTCGAGCGATTTCATTGCATCTTGTTTCAGTGCTGTTTACTCCCCGCTGTGAGCGCGCCTCGGAAAGGCATACATTCACAGCGTGGAGCGCCGCGGCAGGGCAAAAACGAGCCTGATGAAAAGAGCAAAGGGCGCAGTTGTTACAAGTTATGAGGACCTGCATGCAGCCACCTGACAGGAAGAAACAGCTTTCAGCACAATGGTACCAATTCAATTACACAATTAAGGTTGATTCTGTAAGAGTAATCCATCTAAATGTGAGTCATTTCAATTAATTTAGCCTATTCTAATGCTCTGCGGGTCGACTGTATCAATCATTCCTCTTTTTCTCCCCATATATATTTACCTAGAAACCACCCATTCTAATTTAATTCTACTGCAAACCCACACAGCCTTCTGGGAGCTTACAGAGAAGGTCCTCTTGTCAGATGAAATAAAATATGTTACAGAAGATGTGCACAGAGTGGAAGCCAAAGCAATATCAGGACATAACGTATGGATTGTAGCATGGCTAACTGATGGCTCCTTGGAGTACAAGTTGAGCAAATAAAAGAGAAGGAGGAGGAAAATATAGGTTCACGGGGAGAGAAACAGGGCTGGTAGTTGGGTTTATTTATAGGCCTAAAGAGAACTGGAAGAGTCGAAGGAAAGAAAAGAGAGTACAAATTGAGATTATATTAGATTCTTGTGGACAAGACTGCAATGAACTGCTTTTACATCCTGACATTACAGTTTAAACAACCAAGATGAAGATCAGTGCTGGCATTTGAGGAGTGGGAAAATGTATGACCAGCGGTGTTTCGTGTGTATAATCATGTGTGTGTTTGTCTGACCCAAAGCCCCTCTGCGGCAAACACTCCAGGATGTCGTAACACAGGCTGAGCTGGTCGTCTCTTTCGCAGCTGTAGATGCACTCCAACGCCACCTCCATCAGCTGGTCTGGATCTCCAATAATCCTCTGCTGGCACTTGAGAAGATGACACAAGAGCCACTGTTTGAATTTGCTTACAGTTTGTGTGAATATACATATTGAAGTACTGCACCAGTTATTTTTTAAGAGCATTCATGTGTGATTCATGTGTGAAGTTTGACCATGGCTGTGTCTGGTGTTATAAGTGTTGGTCCAGAAATCTCACACACAGACCACGTTGTTTGTGCGTTTGTGTGATACTGACGTTCGGTTTGGAGTGCTGGAAGATGATGAGAGGCAGGGTGAGGTCCTGCTGGGCCAGGCCCACCAGGTACTTTGCGAGCAGAGATTTGGCAGCACCCACGTTCTGGCCCTCACAGCGGTGCAGGAATGGCACCATCCACTGGAAAGCATCTTTCACATAGCGCTCAAGGCTGGACTGTGTATAAAAAATTTAAAAACACAATATTTCTTGTTCAGTACTTCTTAACAAAAGCCCAAGAATCTCAAAATATTAGAGGTCTGTCAAGGAAAAATGAACATTTAAAAACAAAACTGAAAAGCAAGTTGAGAAAAAGCTTTTACACACTGTGACACTTGCGAAGAGTTTGTTCCTAAAGGCATCTATAGATTGGCTTTGGTTCAATTTACACACTTTTTAGAAACCGTAAATTATGTTTGCATAATTAGAAAGTGTCATTTGCTTCTGTCTCTTAGAACCATTTATGATTATCTAAACGATGATGACATCAAGGTTGTGTGAAGGTCAAATCATCAGTTTTGTCTTCTTGTTGCTCAGGGTAGTTTCTTATGATGTTTGTTGTGTTTGTGTACCTGTATTTGTTGCCCATTTAGGACCCTTTCTGRTTATACACACCTAACTTGTCAATACCAGTAGWGTTTATGGGGACCAAAGACRGGTCCTAATATGGTGGAACTCCATTTTTGTGTTGGGGGTTAGATTTGGGGTTAGGGGTCAGGGTTGGGCTATAAAGACAACTGAAAATAAATGAAAATCAATGAGGGATCCTGAAACGTGTGCGTGTGGGTATTCCCTATGTGGGGACCATTTTTGGCATACACACTGACTAAGCCTAGTCCCCATGAGGGGAAATGCCATTAATGAGTCAGGGGTTCGGTTTAGGACTAAGATGTGAATTGAGTTTAGGTGAGGTTTTGGGTCAGCTATGTACCTGTGAGGTTAGGTTTAGGGGTCAGGTTTAAGCTGTAGAAATTAGAAGACAATGCAATGTCCCCATAAGGGTAGCTGTACTAGACTGTGCATGTGTGTGTGAGACGTCCTTATTATGCTGGTGAAGGAGCTGCGGACAAAAATAATAAATCAGAAATCTATGATTAATTTGATCAAGAACTTATTTAACTTATTTGGGAAAATTACATTATTTTGATGTTTTGATTCGTCTTTTATGTTTTTGAGAACACTCCACAGCATTTTAAACTATACGTATGTGAAAACCATCCATTAGGGGTGGCAATCTTTTACTATCTCACGATTCGATTCAGATTTTTGGGGTCACGATTCGATCCATATACRTATATAAAAATCTATTTTGGGACATTTTAAATTGATTCTGAATCTTTGTAAATAAGAATCACGATTCCGATTTAAAACAATTTTTTGGTGCACCCCTACTATCCATGCAATTAAACCTGAACAGAAACCATAATAGCTGCAGGATAGCATGTAAATGATGCTAAAGCCTGCAAAGATGCATGCCAAGTTCATTTGAGGGCTTTGCACCCACCCTGTGAGACAACCCTGACTCGTGATATAGAGATGAAAAAGCTTTGACAGGAAGAAAAAAAAAAAACAACACTCAGATGTTAAATGTGAGTTTGCACACCCACGCGCAAACATTTTCATTCTGCTGTATTGCCTCTGTCAGGGGGGAAAAAATAGACAGACACAAACAGAGAGGGAGATTTAATCTAGGCAGTTTGGTAAACATCAACAAACGTCCACACACACACACACACACACACACACACGCACACACACACACACTCACTGAGCGCCCAAAGGGAGTTCCAGTCAAACGACGTGCATTAGTGCAGTCAACAACATTTGTTGGCTGCCTGCCTGTATGGCGGATCCTACTGCCAATGGTGCTTACAGGCTAAAGCTGGCAGTTATTAGCTACAATTTACAGGACAGCTCATATCATGTACTCCAGGGGGAGTTGTAACTGTACTACCTGCAACGGAACCTTCTGCTGCTGCAGCTGGAAAGCGAGCTGATATCCTTAAATGTCACCTTTTTTTTATTTTCTTCCATAACTTCTTTTTTTATTCATTTATTTTACAAATTGTATGACATTTATTTTTTATTCAAATAGAATTCACTAGATTTTCTTTAAAGATTAATTAAAAACAAAGTTATTCTGTGGAGCAAGACCTAAAATTGGTATGCTTGTTTGTCTTTGTGTCTATGGTGTATAATGATGTGATTGTGATGCTGTATTTCTGAGTGTTTTATGTGCTGCAGAACAGGAACCTGCTGTAAAACAGCAATTATGCTGAGTCAGGCTTGATTTTTAGTAATCTTTTCCTGTTAAATCAATAAATCAAATCAAATCAAAGTACTTTTGTGTTTGTCCACAAAATGAAGTGTTGCATAGAAGCAGAAATATAAACARAGGGTGAGTATTGGTAATAACGTCTTGTAGCTTTTAAGCATTTATGAAACAAAGTTTTACTGTRTGAAGAAAGTACATTTAAGCCACCTTTTTATATCAAAGCACACTGTAGAAAAGAAAGGGGGGCCCATTAGTGAGACTGTCACTTACATTTTTCATAAGCAGRTGGAGCTTGTCGATGTCACTGAGCTGCTGCAGATCCTTCAGTGTCACATTCAGTTCGCATGACGTCTCATACACGAGTGTTTCCAAGGTGACCAAGTCGTCACACAAGCGCTCCAGTCCTGGGATCTTCCGCTCCTTTCCCAGACGGACCAGAGACAGAGCACAGTCCACCTGACAGATATGGGCAGAAATAAAATTGTAAATGAAAGAAAAGAAAGAAGAATGAATATAAAACAAAATGGAGAATATTTGTATTACATAAACAACTGGTTTCAGAAGACTGGGCCATTGGTTAGTAGGTTTGGGCGGTATGATGATATTTTGGTATGCCATGGTATTTAAATATTATAAATGTATAAGTCACATGAGGTGATGCACMAAATTTCCACAAGGCTGCTATGAAAACTGGGACGTAAAAACTTCGGTCTCTTTCAGACGACAAAGAGAAGAGGAAAGAGGGGACAGAGACTCCCCCACCTGTTGCATCTCTCTACCTCCAGGCGAGGTAGTGAAAGAAAAATTAGAACTCCTAAAATTGTGGGTCGGTGTAATGCTAACGGACAGGTTCAGGGACCACCCAGCCACATTTCCTTTTTCTTCCGAGACCCACAAGCACCTTGCTGCAGACGAGGAAATAATTACAAACTTTATTGGCACACCGACTGGCTAAAAGTACGCAGCAATACGAATACAACCATGGGTCCGTGTACATTCAGGCAGTACACAGACCACCATGGTAAAGATCAGATTATTTTGAAACTTAAAACCCTAGAAAAAGGTACTTTGTCATATTTTGATGTGTGTGACATAATAAGGGCCAAAAATCATTCTGCGATTTTTTTTTCCATGCCTCTCTCTGGCTCTAGAATGGCAAGTTATATGCCTGTAATTCCTCACAAGTAGCCGTTTCTCTATTAAATTTTAATTACTCAACACTCCATAGACTAYCCCCCTGGTAAAATYGTATACTGTTGTATTTTCAAAGCTTATACCACAGTATGAAAATGATCAATATATTGGTTAATATGTTCAGTCAGTCTTGATTAACATTTCTCTGCTAAGTGGTTTTAAGTGGATTGTTTCAAATAAAACTCAAACAATTGCTGTGCTGTTTCAAAATGTTTTTAGTTCAGAAAGTGGGCAGACTCAATAAAATTGGTAGATTTGTGCTACATCAATATTTAAAAAAATCCTATCTTGATAAGTGCAATGGGGCATGGGCAAAAAAACAAAACAAATCAACAATATTCCAACAAATTCAGAACAAACAATAACTACCAATCTTTACTAATACCAAATCTTTACTCCTTCCACCATGAAAGAGACGATTTGGGGCTTCCTGCTGCTTGGATCAATACAATTCCATCCAGAAGAGCAACCAATCAATACGCGACCACCTATACACTGGCAGCACGTCCAGCCAATCGATGCTCCCCACCTGTGGATGTTAGCCAATCAATAGCAGATGCCACTAGGCCTCTAGGTGATGATTGCTTTCTCTTCAGCTTTTAGAAAAGAAGTCTTTTTTTGGCTCCAAATATTTTATTTGACAGCTTTTGCAACTCTGTCAGCTTTACTCACTTTTTTTTTTTTACTGAACAAGTAATTACATGCATTTACAAGGTTATAAACACACAAAAACCATAGAAATACCAAATTTGCCTTGATTCACAGCTGGAGTAATTAGATACAAGAGGAGAGAGGGGTCTATTGATTCAATTGTAGGGAAAGATCCTCCCCATCCACTGAACCCCCCTCCCCACCTCTCTAGAGAGATTTCATGTCTTATTGCAGACAATTCAGATGTTGAAATCTAACACTTTAATTATATTTGCTTCCTCTCCTCATCACTGTTGATACAGTAACAACACGTATCCTCAGTCTTTCACTCTGTGTTGGCTCCCACAAGTAGGTTCACTCCAATTTTCCCAACTCAATTCGAGTGTCTTTCCTTTCCCGTTCACCGTCCTATGAACGCCTTTTCTTTCAGGTTTAATTACCACAAATTTGCTCTAAATCTGCATAATGTTTTTGTTACCCCACCTCTCTTCGTCTTCTTCCTCCTCCTCCTCTCACCTCACAAAACTTTGCGATAGCCATCGTAGATGGCCTCCGTTTGAACTCCCTGCTTGGAATCCATTCATTTTGTTGACACTTGTCACCACCAAAGGTGAATAATGTTGTTGCCCCTGTGTGTGTGTTTGCCTTGTTTGTAGTGTTAGTAAAATATTTCATGAATCAGTGGATTAATTTCAGTGAAACTCAATGAACATACACTCACCGGCCACTTTATTAGGTACACCACGCTAGTAACGGGTTGGACCCCCTTTTGCCTTCAGAACTGCCTCAATTCTTCGTGGCATAGATTCAACAAGGTGCTGGAAGCATTCCTCAGAGATTTTGGTCCATATTGACATGATGGCATCACACAGTTGCCRCAGATTTGTCGGCTGCACATCCATGATGCGAATCTCCCGTTACACCACATCCCAAAGATGCTCTATTGGATTGAGATCTGGTGACTGTGGAGGCCATTTGAGTACAGTGATCTCATTGTCATGTTCAAGAAACCAGTCTGAGATGATTCCAGCTTTATGACATGGCACATTATCCTGCTGAAAGTAGCCATCAGATGTTGGGTACATTGTGGTCATAAAGGGATGGACATGGTCAGCAACAATACTCAGGTAGGCTGTGGCGTTGCAACGATGCTCAATTGGTACCAAGGGGCCCAAAGAGTGCCAAGAAAAGATTCCCCACACCATGACACCACCACCACCAGCCTGAACCGWTGATACAAGGCAGGATGGATCCATGCTTTCATGTTGTTGACGCCAAATTCTGACCCTACCATCCGAATGTCGCAGCAGAAATCGAGACTCATCAGACCAGGCAACGTTTTTCCAATCTTCTCTTGTCCATTTTYGATGAGCTTGTGCAAATTGTAGCCTCAGTTTCCTGTTCTTAGCTGAAAGGAGTGGCACCCGGTGTGGTCTTCTGCTGCTGAAGCCCATCTGCCTCAAAGTTCGACGTACTGTGCGTTCAGAGATGCTCTTCTGCCTACCTYGGTTGTAACGGGTGGTTATATGAGTCACTGTTGCCTTTCTATCAGCTCGAACCAGTCTGCCCATTCTCCTCTGACCTCTGGCATCAACAAGGCATTTCCGCCCACAGGACTGCCGCTCACTGGATGTTTTTTCTTTTTCGGACCATTCTCTGTAAACCCTAGAGATGGTTGTGCGTGAAAATCCCAGTAGATCAGCAGTTTCTGAAATACTCAGACCAGCCCTTCTGGCACCAACAACCATGCCACGTTCAAAGGCACTCAAATCACCTTTCTTGCCCATACTGATGCTCGGTTTGAACTGCAGGAGATTGTCTTGACCATGTCTACATGCCTAAATGCACTGAGTTGCCGCCATGTGATTGGCTGATTAGAAATTAAGTGTTAACGAGCAGTTGGACAGGTGTACCTAATAAAGTGGCCGGTGAGTGTACATCTGCAATGCATTGACCATAGCAAACAGAAAAATAGGTACAACTCAGCCAACTTTACAGATACCAAGTTAAAGTTTGGTGTATTAGTAGCCGAGAGTCACCCTCAACACACGCATTGAGCATTAACGCTTTGAGCAAAAACCCACAGTAAAATATTGCATTATGTATTGGGCCACAGCATCTTGGTCTGTGTACATTTTGGTCATGTGTTTTTACATTCATGAACAGATATTGAAAAATTTATTCGGTTTTCATTTTATACTCCAAAAATGAGAAACTGGTCCGTCTTTTTCTTTTTGTCAAACTGGGAGTTTATAACTGCTGTCAAGGCAACTCAATGTAGTCCTTTGGAACCTGCTGTGGCTTCAAGTTCTTTGCCATGAACCTGTTGGAGAAAGGCTTTATGTGCTAAAAGCATCAGAAGCTCCAGGAAACAGTTTGAATCATCAGTGATAAACAAACTATCAGCTGACACCGGTTACTGAAACATCAAACTAGTTAGCTAGCATTTATTTACTGAGGCTGCCTGGTTAGCTATCTATAAAGTAAAATGTGTTTATTAATCCCATTATGAGGCCATTTAAAGGTGGAGTTAGATAAATAGTTTTTTAAAAGAAATTATCTAGACCACTTATATTAATAAAATATACTGTGCAGTCAGTTAAAGAAATGTAAAAGTAGTTATCTAGAGTTTATTTGTTTACAGACAACCACTTGGGATTAAAAAGATATTTAACTAGCTACACGATAAATGGTCTGATAACAGTGTTAATTTTGTGATTTGAGAAAAATAAAATGACTGACCACTTTCCTATTTTAGAAGTATAAAATTATATTAGAATAATTGTGACCCAAAAAAGACCCATCTTGCTGGTCAATGTTGCGATTTTGTAATCAAGGCTTCAGGTTTGAGCCCATGGTTGCATCAGGAAGGGTAACTTTGCTTAAGTTTCATCAAAACAGCTATAATCCCATTACTTCTCAGCATAAGATAACCATGCTTTCTTTAGAAGGAATATGAGGCCTTTTTTTTCTACCCCTTTCACCTCCCAATAAGTATTGATTTTTTTTCAACCAGAACTATTCCCACAAGATCACGTAACCTTTTTTTTATCTATCACAACGTGTCAGTTTTGGCCTCCCCCCACTTTGTATGTAATACCTAACAGGGAATGTTCCTCTGGCTCTTTTTTTCTCTCCTTCAGTTGTGTTTCCATGTTAAGCCTTTTGAAGCTTGTCTGAGTCATGTCATTTCCAACCACTCTGTGACTGGTTTAGAACACTCCAGCTTCCCCCAGTGTGGCTCCTTTTAATCAAGACCCAATTTTCGGCATTAAATCCCTTCTCACAAGCATAAACACGAGCTGAACAAGGGTTGGAAGAAACTGGGGGGGGGAAATGAAACTAGCAGGAGAGCTTGTTTTTCAGCACCTTTGTCACTTTTCCTTCCTCATTTCACTGTGTGTGTGTGTGTGTGTGGGGGGGGGGGGGGGGGGGGGGGGTTGTGAAAAGAGCCTCAGACATGAGAGTTAAGGACAGTCTGAGTCTCAAGAGGCTCCTGKAGTACCGTGTTCGAGAGCAAAAGGAGATGAGGTCTAATTAAAAATGAACAAGGGAGAGAATGAAAGGGAAAGCTGGTATGATTCCTTGAGATTAACAAAGATTACCCCCAAACTCCCTCACAAAAAAAAATAAAAAAAGAAAAAAATATTCTCTTGTCTCTCTTCCCATCTCTGGAGTGGATGATGAAAGCAGCAGTCCYCCCAGTTTGGTTCAAAAAAAATGAGCAATGGACCCCCAAACCTCTATTCCTTCATCCTGCTTGCACCAAGTGAAGGGGATAAAACGAAGAAATGAAGGGGAACAGTACGACTGCACCCTAGTTAATCCCTTCACAAAGACAAAGAGAGTGCTGTGACAACCTTGATCCATCACTATGAAGGAGGTGAAATGGGACAGAGCTGCAGTTTGGATGGTGTGGGTGGAGACAGTGGGCAACTCCACAGTTTATATCCCATTACTCCACTAAACAAGTCCTATCAAGTCCTATTTTTCAGCCACGGCATCCGAACGCAGACGACAGAAGCTTTGGTTTCTCTTCATTAGAAGTCCATATGGCAAATATGATAATAACTGTCACAGGCAGGATCAAAGTGACCTCGACTGATGGAGGTTGGCAAAATCTCTTCAGCATTCTGAAACCTCGCTCGTCATACTTTTCTGCCCTCAATTATCTAAAAGTAGTGTGCAACAGCAATTATGTCCAAAAGCCAGACTTTTAATAATTGCTTTCTGTTGCTGCCCTGCTTAAGTCACAATACAGCAGGAAAAAAAACGATGAAAAAAGGGACATGGACAAGGTGCATGATGTGTTTCATCTTAAGGCAGAAATTTTCAGTAGTCTGTGCTGATTTCTTTTTTCTATTTTTTTTTGATGAGGAACAAGTAAATGTTTGCAAATTGAAGGTGAGAACAACGGAAAGTTTCTTTTTTTTCTGCAAGTGAGAAAAGTTTGACTTTTAAGGTGTTGGCTAGCAGAAAAAAACTCTTTTTATTTCCCAGCCACTGCCGAAGAATAGTAATGAACTATGTGTGACATATAACCATGCAGAGCTAACAAGAAAAATCTAAATTTAATCCACATCAAAGGGGAAACGTGCAAAAACCCTCTAAATAAGACACAAACACAGAGATAATGGCTATGTGGTGCTGTGTAACAGSATTGCACTGTCAAGAAGTTGTAGCTATTTTGGTCAAATCTTGAAAATAACATTAACCACAATTTTGAGTATGTGTTGTGAAAAGATTTCAACAACTATCACATCAAATTTATCTAAAAATCTATTAAATGGACTGAGTTATAACCATTTTTGTGTTGGTCAATGTCAAATAACTGTGGTGGTCATTTTGCATTGGACTGGCTTCAAAGGTTAGTTGTAGAGGTACATCMAAAGATTTCTTTCGGAAGGTTTCAACAAAATTAATTTGGTGATTTATGAGATAATTTGCTAACAGAAAGAATTGACTCCAAATTGTTAATGGCAACACTTTAATATGAAGATCTGTTATCACTCAGAATATGTGTTGAGGAATCATTATCAGCTGCTATCACACCAAATTTCAGGCTATCTGTAAATTTTACTGAGTTATACACATTTTTGTTTTTTTAAGGTTGGTTGTGGTAGCCTAATCTGGTTAATTCCAAAAGTTATTCCATTTGTAGACATACATGGTTTCACAAATTTTATTAGGCCATATTATAATTGTTATTTTTGTAACAGACTGATGTCCACTTTATAAAATAACTGTTCAAGAACAAATTTAATGGAAAAAATGTAAATCAGGACTAYAGACATCTAAACGCTACATGTTTTACATGCCTTTATTTCATCCATATTTTCAATAGTTAGGTCAAATGTGCCATTAAGTAGCTTGATAATATAGTTATGGCAGCTTTAAGATTCACAATATTCCTTTATTTAAAAAAAGACATGTCACACTAAAAGTAGTCTATATCTTGTTGTGAAGATGAGAAGTTCTATGTTTATTGACTAAAGTTATAAAGATTTAATTATTACAAATATATTGATTAGGATGAACAGAAATACTGGTTTCTGATTGTTTATTACATAATGCACCAGATTATTACACCACCACATTTTGTAATAATTGCCGCAAAATGTAATAATGTTATTACATAATGTGTTGAAGACTTTTATTACATTTTGCGTCAATTATCTCATAATGCGGTTTTAGCGCGAGTTTATTACATTTTGAAGCCTGATTTTATTACATTATTACATAATSCGTTGTTACAAAATGAGGTCATAAAGACCTTTAAAAGCTCTTTCCTGGAAAGCACCTACGTCATTTCGTCCCGGCAAACTGTACGGACTGGGCTTCCTGTTTTGTAAACAAGAACATAATTTGTAATACACAMTAATGACAGCAAACTCTTGAACTCTGTTTTTACCACTGTCCAGCCAACTTTTTGTACTTTCCTAATCTTCCAGGACCAAATATGAAGTTGTCTTTTCACAGAGAGAATCTGGCCAAACCTTTTGAACTCAAGAACTCGATGAACCGGCCACTTCAAGGGCACTAGACAAATGCCTACCTGACTGCCAGATTGTGATGGCTCTGATTGCAGGCTGCAGTCAGAATACAGGAGAAAGAGCGTCCCRTACAGGACACTTCAAWTTAGTTGAAAATACGGGACATTCCAGCTAAAACGGGACAATTGGCAACCCTACAACATACCAATTGAGTCAATGATTTGGGTGCCGAGTTATCTTGCTACAGAGATTACAAAAGCACACCAGTTTCCTTCACCAGATTTGCATTACAGGAAATCAACAAGCWTTCTGGAGCCAGCTGGAAACCCTACGAGAGTCCATACCTGTCTGGAACAGGAATCGATGTCCTGAGCTCTGCTTTGATACCAGTCGGTGAGAACATCAATGGAGGGCGTCGCCGTGCAAAATCTCATTAGCTCTGGAGTCTCCTCATACAAAAAACCATCATCGTCGAGCAAGTTCTGCTCCAGCACCGCTCTACAATGATACATGAAAAAGTCTTTATTGATTTAATGGAAGATTTACTAAATGTTCGTAACCACCTCAAAACTCACGTGTTTATCAGAAAGGTGCCTTTCACAGTTTTATAAACAGAAATTGTGCATAATTTTACAGTCTTCTCATTAACTCAAGTGGTATCATTAAATATGCAAATCTGCCCTCGCTCATATCCAAGCCTGCCAGTAGATGATACTGGCCTCATTTCTGCTATGATTAGTTGAAATATTGTGAAATTCAAGCAACACATTCTTGAATTTCAGAGCCATTCTTTCAAAGAAGTCTGAGAAACAATATCACAAACAAAWGGCAATATCAGAAAAATGATGTATTCACTTTATTTTGTGTTTAATTTGCAAAAACATGCCAGACAAATGTTGTGAAAACCAGAAAATCTACACTCAAATGCCTGTAACACATGCAGCATCCTGCTGTTGTAAATAGGATTAAAAGCTTCTGTTTGTCCACCTGCTAAGCCCTGCATTTCAAAGAAATGCTTCAGGTTTGACTGAAAGTGAAAGTGACAGATTTATCCACTATTTTTAAAGACTCACTTGTAGAGTGGGCGAGCTTTAAGCATTCCAAGGTAAAAATGTCAAACGTTAGTATTTAGAGACAGTCTAACAGATTGCTGGTTTATTATTATTATTGTTTATGGTAATAAATCTATGTAATATTGCCTTAAATAGAAGGCAAAGAAAATAAAAAGGAAAATGAGATGCAAAAAAAATGGAGTGTAGAAACAACACCACAAATACAAATACGGGAAAAAAAACTGTTCTAAAGCTTGTTGTAGCTTCAAATATAATATTTAATATCCTGGCAAAGAACACCACAGCATCCAATTGATATTATGACTCTGCACCATGGAGGAATAATAATAATAATAAAAAGGAGCGTTGCTAAATAAAATAGTAAATGAAGCCAGCCTCCCAACAGGGGCAGGCAAATGGCACAAATTGGCAGTGCAACAAAATCCAGTGTTAGTTTGTTATGGCTCTGTGTAACATTCGGATAATAGGATGTCATATTTTGTTCCACATAATGATGCCAACACAAGCATCTGGTCTGCACAAAACATGGATTTTACCAGTCCTGCAACGTGACTGTGAGGCTTTTTTGTGATTAGTGCAGGCAGATTATATGGTAATATCTCGCTGATAGGTTTATTGCCGTTTAATGTACAGTAATAAAAAGTCAGTGAAGGTTAATGTGAACTATTTACCTGCACTCCTCTGACTCACACCAGTCCATCTCTCTGTGTCTCTGCTCGACCCAGGGAATCAACACCATCTCGCCTCCTTCATCTAGACTGTTAAAAGAAGAAAGGCAGACAGAAACGCAGGGTAAAAAAGCGTCAGAACAAACTTTATATTTTTTGAGCAACGTATAGCGATACAAGGAATAAAACTTAAACGCCTACGCATTCCTGTCTACCTGATAAATCGCCAAAGGCATTTACTGTATGAAATTAAATTTGGCCATAAACTAGAGGAAAACCATTAAGCTGGAAACATATTATAAATAGAATAGCCCAGTGTAAAAAGAAAAAGCAAAGAGGTGGAAGAAAAAGGCAAAAAGTCGATTTCCTTTAAGATTAAACATGAAATTCAAGAAACTACAAGGGACATCTCGATTAGATGTAAGAACATGTAGATTTTCATACTTTATAAGACCACAGATACYCATACTTCATCAATTTATGAAATGTCCCATGAGTATTTGCTGCCCCAGCGTACGTCAAACTTTCTCCAAGTGCACTGGCTAAAATATAAACAAAAAGCACGAGTCACTGCACTGGCTGCTAGCTTAGTCATTACAAAATAAAATGACTTATAAACAAAGGTATTTGCATTCCATGTTTCATATTATTGCAGCTCTTAGACAAATCATTTTCTCCCTCTCTGGGGAAAGTTTGGGCAATCCCCTGGTCTAGATCAGTTATTTTTTGACTAACTTGGTGCTGAGCTCAAAGGCTCTGTCTGTTTTTTTACTCTTAAGCTGTAATTTACAAGTTGGACAATTAAAACTGAAATGTCTCTCCAAGTCAGAATTCCAACTTGGAATAAAAACACAGACCTTCAAATCCAATATGGCTGCCTTGTGCATAAAAAGCTGTGATAACAAGCATTGTGTTTTCACTTTTGTATCTCATTAAATCAGTGGCAGAAGTAAAACTGTTCTTCTGCCATCAGCACACACGTCACTACAGTGTTAGTGCATAAAGATAGAATACTTACTATATACTACATAATTAAAAAATCCCACTTGCAAATGTCAGATAATTAAGTTGGATGTGACTGAAATGGAATGTAGCAATTATTCTTTCTGGAATCTTTGTGTGAAAAAAAGAAACGAAGAATCTGAAAAATGCAACGCTGTGTTCTGATGCCAATGAGATCCAAAACACTAAAATGTATAAATGTGTGCATCCACGCTGAGACAAAACTACATTTTTTTTTTTGTTATCTATTTGTCTGTGGACAGAAAAATATGTACTTGGGCTGTAAACTCCACGAGATAGCGAGGGCCACAAATCATCTATAGGTTTGGTGCAGTTAAAGGCTGAGTGCTGCAGCAGTTTTCTTAGCGCAGCCATAAATTCTTTCCAATCACAAAATACACGAGAAGAAAGCATCAGCTATGATTAACTTGCAAAAAAACAGAGATTTCTTGCAAAACTGCTGGACATTATCATTCATTCGTGTTTTGTGTTGGGAGTTTACAGAAGAGAAATTGAAAGTCCTGTGAAGAAATTTATTTAGTCATTTAGAAACTGATTTTAGAAGCACCACACTAAATTCATAGTTTTCCTTTTTAAGTATTGATTCTTATAATCTATTGTTTGACTATTATGTCTTGATTAAAATAGGTTTAGATACATGCCTTAAAACATCACGACAACACATAATAAAACCGTTKATAATAAACATCCTTGCTGTTCAGAGTGTCTGCGATTCAGCCGTAGGCCTGTAGTGGGCGTACCAGGCACTGAAGACCCGTGTATTTATTGACCGGGACTTCCGGTTTGCATTCAGCACTGGTTTCATGACTGAACAGACAGCATTAAACCACCATTCACTCCAGTAACTGGTKTTGTATGGTTCTCTTCTCTTTACATTTTAATCTATTCAATATTTCCTGGCTAAAGTAAACACTTTCAATTTGGCTTTTTTTTTACCATCTACTTGATTTTCAGTCCTCATTTAAGACAGCTATGTTAGTGAGTGAAGAAAAAATATTGGTGCGAGTGTTCAGATATTGATAGAAGAGATACATTATTCTGTGCCGGCACCCCTGACCGCCTAAAATAAATAAATAAATAAATAAATAAATGTTATGAAGCAGAAGTGAAAAGAAAATGCAAAGCCCGAGCTGACTTTTTGTTTCCACTGGGCCAACTCCCTTATTCAAGCTACGGGCAACGTTTTCAACAAAAACACAACCCCTCTTCGTGCTTTGAGCCTACAAGACCCCGAGCAGCCCTGATCAATATTACTGAAGAAAGCTGCATTTCTCTCCCCCCTCTTCCAGTCAAGCAGGACTTCAGTCTGTACGGCGAGCTCAGGACAGATGGTGCGAGCGGGGCTCCGTCTGCTGCAGTGTGGGAGTGAGAGCTGGAGGAGCAGCAGTTGGTGCTCACAAGCTGGGGAAATGGGAAACTGCCCCACAGCGGCAGCTCCATGATGGATGCTCACTGCAGAGCTACAACCGCCTGACCTCCATCCAAACTCAGACGTGGCTAATAAAAAGGCGGGCTGCAGAGAAATGTGCTGGATGGAAACCAAAAAGACAATTATTTTTACATATAGAGGAAGACCCGACTCTATAGAAGACCTCTTTTTGTATAAATTATTTCTGTTAAAGTAACTGAGTTGAAGCTAATGTGGTGTTACTAAGGTTCATTAGCTGTGGAGGCCATCTTGAATTAAGTAACGGTAATTGGTTTTATAAATTCATATTCAGTGATTACTTTGAGAGGTTTTATTCAAATCCATCCAGTGGTTCATGAATACATTTGTTAGTAGAAAAAAAGTTGATGCCAAAATATTAAGCCATTTTGTTGCCCAAAGTGTTTTGCTCCAAGTATGTGTTGAGGATGATTCTCAGCTTCTACCACAACAAATTTTAGCTGAGTAYACAAAAACGTAACAGAGTTATACACTTTTTGGGCGTTGGCTATTGTCCATTTTCTGTGGCAGGCATTTTGACTTGGGTTGACTCAAATTAAGTTGTAGATGTCCACCTAATTATTATATTTTGAGAGTTCCAACAAAATGTGTCCAGCGGTTTGTGATATATTTTGCTTACAGACCAAAGCTTTAGGCAAACAAAGTGCACAGTGTGTTGCTCAGAACATGTGTTGGGGATGATGATCACTTACTATCATGCCAAATTCTAGCTCAATTCTATAAACTTTACTGAGTTTTAACCATCTCTACATTTCCTAAAGTCAGTTGGCTGTGGCAGCGAGTTGGGTTGCCTTCAAATGTTAATCTGTTGTAAGTGCATTTTTAGTGATTTTGTTCAGATAATTGCATTCAAATCCATTCAGTACTTTAATCTTATTGACTCTTGAATGAACTTAACACATATTTTTATTAAAATGTTCAGAATATTTTTACAACAAATATGAAGTTTTTTTATACTGTGAATAATAAAAAAAAAATTCAGTGATTAAGTTGTAAAAACAAGTTCCTAGGGACTATGTAGTTGCAGGCCTTGCACTGAAACAGTCAAACACAATGGGCCTCATGCAAGAACCGTTCGTACGCACAGATTTGTTCTTAAGTTGTGCGTACGAGTGATTTAGGAGAATTTGTGGCATTCACCAATGTTTTCGTATTCTAAGATTTTTTTCAGATACGAACAAAATTCACGAGTGGTCCAGACCTGTCGTTTATTTTACGAGCAGTCAGTCTGTTATCCAGACGGGTTTTCTTCCCTAATAACTTTATATTTCATTAGTTTGAAGATACTTTGAGTTGAAAATAAATTACACTCCATAATTATGTTGATAATAGGCTATTCTGCTTGAATTAGAGTTATAATTTTAAATGTAATAATTTAGACTAACAATATAAATCGTCCGTCCGGCCGGCTTACCCGCCGGGGGTACGGTGTGCGACGGTGTGGCTTCTAAATAAATTAAAATGATTTAACACAGTTGTTTATACTTTTAGCAGCTCTTTTTATTCCACAGCTGACCTGCTAAAAATGACTCATCTCTGACAGCAGGACTTCAATCTCTGAACTCGTAAAGTTCTTCTTTTTAGTTTTCGCTGTCATTTTCATGAATGAACACTTCCTTGTATCTGAGGCAGGAATCATAGCCTTATATGGTGTTTTTGGGGTGGTAATTATGCTAATCTCCTCTCGCGTGCACGAGCAGCTGGATAGAACAGGTGGAATTTACGCAGCTCATTTACACCCTTTTCCTGAAGATAGAAGAGTTTGTTGAATCTGACGTGGCATGTTCGTACGAACCCTTTGTACAAACAAAAGTAAGAGAAATTTAGGATAAGAATACGAACATATTCTTGCATGAGGTCCATTGAGTGTGTCCTAACTCAGGGGCTGCAGCCTACCTTGACCGTGGCGGACATAGGCCACAGTATGGGTAGGCTGCATAAAACGGCTGTGAAATGAGACGGTCTAGCGTTTGTGTTTGCTAACAGCACAACGAATCCTAGGATATCCTTCAGATGTAGCCTACATTTTTGGGATTTTGTGGGCCGAATGAGAAGGAGTCCACAAATTTGTTAAGTGTCGGAGTGGGACAGTGACGTAAGCGGACAACTTCARAGGATGCAGCCCCTCAATTGAGACACAGTCTATGTTCATACATCGACGCTTGTAGGACTTCCATGTTTGTGAACTGGGTCATATCCTCTTCTTCAATAATGTCATTTCCAGAAGGCGTAACTTAACTTTGAAGAGGGGTATTAAAACAATTGGGTTGTGAAAAAACTGTGCCACTTGCCAATGACCCAAAATCCTGAGTCCTTGGCCCAGCTTCAAAAGATTGTGGTAATCTCTACATGTGCAATTAAATACTCATGTCTAACTTTAAATCGGTTTCCTGTGTTTTAAGTGAATGCTCTATTTCTTACAATGGATAAAGATGCACTCAAACAAGCAAAAACACTGCTTCGCTTTCTGCAGTGGGTGATAAATGTCATTCTAGTTTGGATAAGGGGCATTTGAATACATTCAGCATGAGCAGAAAAAAAATGAAAAGTGGGAAAAAACTAATATTCTGTATGACCAGACATGTATAGATGTGCTGAAAAAAGAAAAAAAAACGTGAAAATAATACGGTTGCCCCTTATCAGTAAATCCAATCTGTCACCTCTACAGGTGAAGCATATAAGGGTGAGAAATGATTTTTTTCCACCTTATAACCTTGCATCATCATTTGTGCTTCCCTGACACCAGCCTTCCTCCAGAGATTTTCAAATATCTAAGCAAAAAATAGTAATAATAAAAAACGTTCTGTAAATTAAAAACGGTGGGGAAAAAGCAGTTAATTGAATATGTTGCGTCACATATTGCTGAATGTGAAGGTGTTCAATAATTCAATGTAAATGTATAAGTGGAAGATATGACACTCTGTCTCTGTGTACACGTCTGTGCATTTGCTTTTCGAGCCCGACAAGAAAGAYGTCGGGTGAAAGCGAGAAGACGAGGATGTGAGAACGACCTTGGGGGCACGAACTCCAGCAGAGGTGCTATTCCAGTTTTAGGTGCTTTTAATTTGAGACGTATGACAATGTGAGACCGCTGCATTCCACCRAGGTGTAAATGTGGATTCTCAGACATCAGGAAATGTGTGCGTGTCTCTGAGGAAATGTATATGTTTCTGTTCACAATATAAGATGGTGTAGAAAAAGCAAGTGATTTCTGTTTATTTCAGCCTTATTAATTGTACATTATTTTACTTTTGTTAATTGGTCTGCATATCCTGCCAAAATGCTCATCTGTGGGTTACAGCTGTGATTACCACCCGAGGAGCAGTCATTACGCTAACGTTCATTAGGGGCCATATATTCAGGTCAGAATGCAATTTGGGAAACTTTTTTATTATTATTTACTGACTCACCATGACTCAAATGAAACCTCTAATGGAGTCTGCCCCCTCAGTAACAGAAGGTATCATTTTTTTAATCTCTGCTTTGATTTACACTTATCACTTCTCAGCTCAGTGAACAGTTAAACAATGAAACTAATTTGCACAGCAGAGAAAATTGGCAAAGCAGACATGATCTCAAAAATGTGCAAATGGAAGCGGCCATTTCTATTGGTGTTCCACAGATCGTTTCAACAATAATAAACCTCATAAGCAGATGGAATCAGAATGGCTTCGTAAATATGCCTCTTGAAGGCTGAAGGCTATGCTTATAAAACGTAGAATAGAATATTCTTGTTAAGGCCAAACTATAAAAGTCCTTAAAAACAGGAGAGCAAAAAAGTTCATCTTTGAACATTTTTGCCGTTTCAGCCATTTTTTTGGTCAATTTGATGGCCATAACAATCCAACATTTTGAATATCCCCGATTTGAGGTTGGGGCGGTTCTAAGCTGACTGTATCACTATTGATACACCACACATGGCAGGAATATCTCATAGGATCATCTTTACAGCCATCATGATAATCGGAGCGAAGATTGTCAGAAGGGCAAAATCAGGTCACAAATCAGCACAATTGCCATGTCAACCAGGCTTAACTGCATTTAATAGACTTATTTATTCATAAAATGCACTTATAACATTAATTTAAATAGAGTTACACTTATAAAGAACATTGTTGGTAATGTACAGTACCGCTAAGAACAGTTCGTTGTTGTACGTTTTGTTATTATGTTTTGTGGGGGTTGCAGTTCATACTGGCACCATCAGGAAACAAAACAAACCCACAATTTGCTCTTTACCAAATGAAAATCGGAAACTACACTAAATACATTTAATGCCAACAGCAAACCTGAGCGATTAACTTTTCATCAAAGCCTCCTGACTGCGGCTCCAGCACAGGGTAAATATCATCGCATCACTTTTTTTCTTTTTTAAGGTGTTTTAAGGCATTTAGATTTCCTCAGTGCATGTGTGTGAGTCTCACCAAGCTTCAGGCAGTAAGTTGGAGTACTCGTGTGGAGAGGTGGTTTCTGGGAAGTTATAGAAGATGGCCAGTCGATGCTTAAGGAGTTCTCCTCCGTGATACGTGAACAGAATATCCAGAGCTTGCACGTTACTCTCCTACAGGCAAACAATGCGTGTGACAAAATTGAATTTATACTTCACACAAAGTACTTTGTCTTGATAAAGGTTTTAAAAATTAAAATAAGAAAATAATCAAAAGAGTAAATCAAACACTTCATAGAAAATTCAATTTACAAATGCATTTAAAACATAAAGTTGGCATCAGAAATTTATATCCATACATCATAATGAAATTACGAATGTCATTAATTTTGGGCTTTAAATTATTTAGAGCAGGACCACCAGACTGAGGATCAGCTTCAACTTTAATGCTATTAGACTTGCTTGTTTTACTGCTGCTATTAGAATATTACTGGTAATTATTTTATTATTACTGTTGGAGGTGGTCATCCTCCATTATTTAATCCACTCCGAGCGATGCACCAGTAACCTTGGCAGTGAAGCAGCAATACAGCATGTCATAGTGATCAAAGAACTCAGTCTCCATCTTGTCTGACCATAAAACTTTTCTCCAGAAGATATTTGGCTTGTCCAAGAGGGCAGCTGCAAACTTCAGTCCATTATAAGTAGAATGGATTTGAGTTTGTTTCATGGTCAGCACTACTTCAGTTCATGAGGATGTAAAACTCACTTTTATGTGGACAGTGACACTGGAGTTCCATTGAGCTTTGGTGGTTCCTGAACACCCCGACTAATATATATTCCTTCTTAAAGTTTTACTAATTTTCTTGAACTACCTGTTGTTCTGAGTATTGATCAGTTCAACATTCAACAAATTATTCAATACCGGCAAAAAGAAATTATCAACTGCAGTCAATCATTCTCACTAAATAAGAGTAAACAAGTCTTGAGCTTGTAAAGTTTAAAGACATTCTTGAATCTTTAGCCCACTTTATTTAAAGTTTTAAGTGAATGCAGGGCCGGCCCTAGTCTATTTGGTGCCCCAGGTCATGTTTGAGGTGGCGCCCCCGGTGCAATTTTCTAAATATTTTGTCTTTGATATTACTTTTTATCTTTAGAGATCAGGTTGTCCAATAAAAAAAGTTAATATAATTCAGAAACAAACTACCAGAAGTCAAATCTGCCAACATTTGATGACAAGAATAAGGAACACTATTTTCATGTCAACATGCAGCTGTGGATTTAAGCAGTTGTAGGGGGATCCAGGCGTGTTCGACGCCGGAAATTTTTCTACTCAAAACTATGCATTTTCCAGCCATTTGAACACCATTTTACTCAATTCTTGGAATTAATAAAACAACAAAATCAGTATTAAAATATATAAAATAAGTTATAATTTTTATTTTCATCCCCCGTTTGTGGTGCCCCCTAGATAGACGGTGCCCTTAGTGTTTGCCTATTTTGCCTATGCCACGGGCTGACCCTGGGTGAATATATGCTGATATCCACATCTGTATGAAAATTTTTGAACCAAGTGGGGATAATTTAAAAAAAATCTAAATAATGTAAACGTATGTTATTTGTTTTTTTAAATCATTACATGTCTGTTCCACCCAGGAAAAAGAATCGCTCAAAAAAAATTTATTCAAAGCCCTAAATGAATACAACATTCATGCAAATGATGGGTGTGTGTAAACTTCCGAGTGCATCTGTATCACGGCCCCGACATGATGATGCATGCAGCTAAAATGAAGACATCATTAGAGAGAGAGAGAGGAAGAGGGCATTTAATGAGAGATTTAGAAGGCAGTGAAGAGTTGCTGTTACCCTGGCGTAGTTTCTCGCTGACAAAACGATATTTTGACTCCGAAAGGTCTTGAAAAACTCTGCATCATATTTCTGCTCTGCCGCGTGAGGACCACCGAGGATCTCCTGTAAGGTTTTACAGAGGAAGAGGGAGATGAGACAAATTGAGAAAAATGAAGGACACCTTTGGTTCATGAAAACAAATTTGGCAAGCAGAGAGGTTATCTTTCCAGAATGAATGTGAAGAGGGAAATCCCAACTAAAGACGTGAGAAGAGAGAGAGAGCAGGAAGAAGATGAGACGGCAAAGGAATGCACTGAGTCAAAGTCAACAAAGATGCTATTTAACTTCCCGCCTTACAGCTGTCTTGTCATTTTAGTTAGAACCATCTTAGGAAGTTATGAATGTGTGTGTGCATTTGTCAAGAGGGAACATTTGTTGCTCTGGCCTTTGGCTAGGTGGGGATTTATCTGTGGGTATAAAATCTCTGTAGCATCCTTTATGCCAGAGTGTGAGTGTGTGTGTTAAAGAGTGTGTCAGGAAGCGTGTCCCTGATGGATAGCCTTTGAATAGGTCGCATGCAGACAGAGCCAGCCCAAGTCGGGATGATAAAAACCCTAATATCATATTCATAGACAGCCAGAGAAAATGGATTGGGGCAAAAGGAATCTGACGAGCGCTGCAGTTACCATGACAATGTCCGAGTAAAGTGAGAGACGTCATTCTGGCTGAGGTGAATATCTAGCAGGGTAAGGAAAAAAATCTCATCTCTCCTGCACGGGAAAACAAGCGAGGCCCCGTTCGTTTGATTTATTGCAGTTGAAAAGAGCGTGCAGGTTACCATTTTTCACAGCGACTATAAAATCCTCATTTTTTTGTTTTTTCTTAAAACACTTAACTGCAAGTGTCAAGTTCCACTTTAAGCAGGGATTGACGCCGCAGTGAAGTGCTTATTTTGTCCGTGTCAGTAATGTGTGTGCTGGAAAAGGGAAATATCTTCCCCTTCAACTGGTTACCATACACTTCATTCTATTCACAGACTTAAAAACTCATTCACGTAGCTACAGTATCTTCTTTAGGCTTTTTATGTTTCTAAGAAGATTAGTGGAGTTAAGAGAAAGTATCTGTAGCAGGAAGATGAGAAAAGCTGCCGTGCTTTGTAAGGATTGGATATGAAMGGAGAAAGCATTAGATTGCTGGTGGGAAAGCTAAGCAATAAAGAATGCTTAAGAACAACATTAAAGCRGCTTGTGTCTCGCACAAACACAACTGAAAATATGAGAGGCATTTAGGAGCCTTTCACCTAATGGGATTTTAATTGTAATTAATAGTACTGGAAAGGCATTATCTTTCCTGTGAAGGCCCACAGATGCCGGCAGGATTCATAAGTTTTCAAAATAAGACGAGTCTGGAAAACATAAATTCAGACTACGTGTTTATTGGCTGCAAGCTGAGCCAATAAAAACTCTGTTAGGAAGATTTTTTTAAACAAATGATAAGGCTAAGATTTCTATTTATTGTTCCAGGTGACAATTAAACCGTGATTAATGCAAATCCTGATTACTGTGTGAGAATTGTGCAGTAATTGGTAGCCAGGGGACAAATGTAAATAAAGATTTACCTCCTTAATTGTTATGAATACAGTGTGAAAACATGATTTATCTTGTGTGTTGTTGCAATAAAATGAAAGAGGAATTTAAGAAATAAGAGTTGCTTTTTAAAATCCTTTTGCTGTATATTATGTTGGACAGAGCTGCTACTTATTTTCATTTAAAGTATTGAAGGAAAATTTGTGCATTATTAACTGAATTTAAGTCATGTGCTTTAAACAGTGTCAGTATCTTAACACTGGCCTTCCTCAACAGCACAAACAAAGCTTGTTTTACATTCTAATGTCTGACGTAAAAGGTATCATCCCCCAGGAGCGTGACCAGGAAGTTGGGTTTATGTACATGCTGTAGTAATTCAGTCAAGAATTTCCAAAGACCTGTCTTTACCTCATATGTTGCCAGCCGGTCCAGGTAGGAGAGCAATTTCAGTCGGCTACGACACAGTTCTTTCTGCTCCAGAGTTAGTCTAAAAAAAAAAAACAAATAAACACAAACATTTAAATAAACTGTTTGCTATCATATGAACTTCACATAGTTACTACAAGACCTGAAATCTAAAACAAGGCTTTGCCAGGAAAGGTTTACTGCAGTCAGATCAGACGTCTACCTCAGTCTGTCAGCTGCACGAACACATAAAGCAGCTTTAAATGAACTGTAAATTGACCCGACGCAGGAAGCCCACAGGGATGTAATGGGCTAGTGACTACAACACTACATAGTACCCTCTAAACCTAATCATTTTCTAAGGACAACAAATCAACTCCTCGTGACCACGAAACCCCTTTCAGCTGTTATATATAGGATACCAGCTGTCAATGATGTGAGGGATTACCCTGCAAGGACCAAATCAATTTTCTACGTCATTTAATTACACCTGTAAATAAACGCCAAAGATCTATCTACAAATCAGTCACTTAAGGTGCGCCCCTGGGGGGGTGGGGGGACTACTGCGAGGAGTCATGTTTGACGCTTCAGGAATACATTTTATGCATTTTCCAACACGTGTTCGCACATCGAACAGGTGAAGCAAAGTCCAAAAATGTGTCCCGGATCAACAACGGGGGGGACCTGACCTCTTCCCTCGCCTTAATCGTTGATCCCCAATTACAGAGGCTGATAGCAGTTCTTATCACGGCCCCTCTACAAAGCCAAACGCAGATTAACACCGGCTCAAAACACCTCTGGCACATCAAAGAGTGGTGGCTTAGAGCTTGCACAAGTGGTAATTACTTTGCTCTGTTTTCTCAGAGTGATGCAAAAAAGGGAAAAAAAGAAAATGGAACAAGGAGGTGGCAGACAAAAGGGTAAGAAAGCGAGATGAGGTGATGATTTTTTTTAACTTATCTGTTGCCTGCTTTAGATTCTAAGTGGTTGCTCAGTTGTAGTTACAAAAAMAATGTAAAGAGAAAAAAAAAATCAGAAATAGTCTGAAAAACATGCAAACTCCAAACAGAAAGACCCCAGCTCGGAACCGGGGATCAAACCCAGGACCTTCTTACTGTGAAGCGTCGGTGCTAACTACTGAGCCACTGTGCTGCCATATGTCTTCATATGTCTGATGCAAATAACCCTGGTTGCTCTTAGATGTGTGACTGTGCATTATTTAAAAAAAGAAAATTAAATCATTTAAATGCACACAGACTGCCACAGTGAAAGCATAAATTGCATTACCCCCTCTCTCACTCACATACACACTGAAGTTCAATGCTGCAGCAAATGAGGAAATTAGACTCCTTACTGAAGTCTGAATCTGATCTGATAAGAACGTAAACACCTTGAAGCATACTACACTCTCTCATCTTCACCGTTTTTCCACCCGTCTCTTCCTCAYAAACAGAAAACCAGCTGCACACTGCCACTGCAGCACATCAAATAGGCAGAGCACTGCTTAGAACAGCACTTGGAACATTCTCGTATAACTTATTTTGTGCCCAGAGTAATTAAAAGGTAAGCTAAAKGATTTAACTATCTAAAAGCTGGGGGAAAACCTGCCAGGTGCATGACAACTTGATAACAAAGTACAGAGACTGAGGTAGTACATAAACTTACCATAAAAACCATGTTTGGCTTATTATTTCGTTGTTGGGACAATACTTCTGAAAAATAAATCTTATATGAGTCTTGGAGTCTTTATTCTCTGGAAAATGGTGCCACGTTTGTAAGAAAAATGAATTTGTGGTTCGCACCCATGGAAAACTTGTCAGATCGTCTCTGCTAAATCTAAACAGCTTATTCTGCCATTGATTCTTATTTTCAGCTTCTGATACCCCAGGTGGTGACAATCAGGTGCCTGATTGGCTTTTGATTTTTAGCACCTGTGAGCATGGAGTAAGCTAGTTAGTGTCTGCTACATGTGACTTCCATCGAGACACCCACTTCATGACCTGCCTCTGACATCTGGAACTTTGCCTTCAATTTGGAGATTGTACTAGGGCTCATTCCAAACAATGCTGCAACTTGACTGATCTGGACCTATCAAAGATCAGTCGAACATGGCATGCTTGAAGCAGACACCAACTAACTACCATGGCAGAGTCCATGCTCACAGGCGCAAAAAAATCAAATGCCAATCAGACACCTGATTGTTAGCACCTGGGGTATCAGAAGCTGAAGACAAGAATCAATGGCAGAATAAGCTGTTTGGCTTTAGCAGAAAAGATTTGGCAAGTTTTTCCATGGGCACAACCCACATACTCGACTCTCCAGCTAAACCTACAAATGCATTTTCCTAACAAGCGTGGCACCATGAAGCAGGAAATAAAAATACTTTCCAGACATGTAAGGTTTAATGCCAAGAAGTATTGTCGAAACGAGTCCAAACAGGACTCCAGCCAGCCATCGGGTGAAAAGGAGGACCCCAAATTCAGACTCAGACCAGTGGTCATGTATGTTGCGTGAGTTTCAGAGAAACGGAGACGTTTATTTTCTAAACGTGACATCCCAGTGGCTTTCAAAACCCAAAACACATTACGGAAAAGACTGGTTCACCCCAAAGACATGGTCCCCTGGCACAAAGAGTAATGTTGTGTATGCTGTTAAGAGCCAGGAGGACTGTGACCAGTTTATACACTGTGGAAACAAAGCAGACACAGTTCAAAAGGATGGCCCAGAACAGAAGAGCTACATCATCAAGCCAGGACTCTGCAGTCTACACTCATCTACAGGCCAGGACACTGTAGTCTACACTCATCTACAGGCCAGGACTTTGTAGTCTACACTCATCTACAGGCCAGGACTCTGCAGTCTACACTCATCTACAGGCCAGGACACTGTAGTCTACACTCATCTACAGGCCAGGACTTTGTAGTCTACACTCATCTACAG